CAAAGTCGGAATTACAGAATGGTTAAACAAGCAATGACAGAATTCACTACATCAGGCACCTAGCAACCCTGCAGCTAGCCTGGTCGACCGCCAGCACAGCTTGGTCGACCGCCTGCCAGCGTTGCGTAGAGGAGCCGCGCCAGCACTGCGGAGAGGCGACCTGCCAACAGAGCAGGTCGACGGCGTGCCAACGTTGCAGCAGAGCGGCTGTCCAGCGTTGCCCCGTAGAACACAGCAGTGCGCACGCTCGCAGGTGCGCGTAGACGATTGGCCCGACTTGCATTGCTGTGCATCTGTCGGCTGTTGTCTGCGCCTGACGAGCCACATCGACTTCGGGATACCAACCCGAAGTCGCCTTCGCCATCGCGACCTCGACGACGTTCGCGTGCCTCCGCATAACTCGTCAAACACGTTACCCGGTCGACCTGGTTGATCATCAAGTGCTCCGGTCGACCACCAGTGCCTCTGGTCGACCACTGGGCCCCTCTGGTCGACCACCAGGTCCCTCTGGTCGACCACAGCTCCCATCGAGCTACCCCCTGGTCGACAGACCCCTTCCGTCGACCAGAACTGGCAGATGATGTCGCCGAGCTCCCCTCGTCGACCGCTGCTCAGTTGTCAGGTCGACGGATTGCTCCGTCGACCTCCCGGTCGAGCTGCAGGTCGACGGACTGCTCCGTCGACCTCCCGGTCGAACTGCCCCTCCTGGTCGACGGCCCACCCGTCGCCCAGACCAGTCAGTTGCAGCTGTCGAGCTCCCTGGTCGACAGCAACACCACTGCAACCCCCTGCAGCTCGACCAAGCCTGCCGAGCAGCTCTCCCACTGTGAACGGTCGGCTGCTACTCCCGTACATCCGACCAAGTCGTCGGCGTTGCCCAAGCGAGGGCGGGGCCAACACTCCATTCCCGTTAACAGTGAGGGCACACCATACTTGTGAGGGCACACCATACTTGTGAGAACCAGGCCCCACGATATCGGGGCAAAACATCCTGATTACCCTGAATTCAGGATGCATATTTGATTTTGCCCTGTCATTTCAGAATAATGTCATTTTTAACCCTGAGCTCTCAGGATGTTTTTATATGAAATGCCCTGGAAAATCAGGATGGTTGTGGTGTACTTCCCTGTAGCGTCAGGATGAATGTCGAGCCTTGCCCTGACGAGTTTTTTTTTTTTGGGGGGGGGGGGGGGGGGGGAGGGGGTACCGTTTCCCGGGAATTTCTTCCCCGTAAAAAATTCCGCCGCGGATTGCTTTCCCCGTGCATTTTTCCCGCCTTCGCGATCCCCTTGCAATTTCGACCCTGCGCAACGCAACAACCAAACCCATCAGACGGGGAAAACACGGCACCCTCCCATCTCGTCAATTGCCATGCATGCACTAGGCGGGTGACTCTCTGTGCTGTTAGAGTAGCAACACAAGTGAAGCTCGGCTGGCTCACTCGCACTAGTAATGGCCAACGAGGAAAATGTCGCAGCGCCAGTATCATCGGCAAACCCGGTCTTAACTAGTCGACCACAGGGTTTGACAGGATTATATTTCTTGCGTGCTGCCCATACCGTGACCACCTTACCGGTAGTTTCACCCACTGCTGGTTCATCTCCAACTCAAGCAGTAATACCACCCCGTGCTAGTACAATCCCCACCCATGTTTTAGGACCTGGTGCAACACGGATCGGCCCTGCCACTAGTGCTAAGTTAAAAGGGACCAAGCACAAACAGTCGCGCTTGTCTTTCTCTCGCGATAGTCCTACAGAACCTACCGTACGCATCCGCATAGAGCCAGTAGAAGCAGGACCATCTACCGTTCCTGCAACATCCTCGTCTACTGAGGAACTGACAGATGAGGCAGAAGAAAAATACCAGGAGGCGCTTATGAAGTCCCTGCACTGTGTATGTCCAGATCTGCCTTGTTCTGTCCCTGCAATGTGTATAACCAGAATCCGCCATCTTCTGACCCTGTTCTGTGTGTGTGTAATGCGTGGCAGGTGTGGACAAGCGTGCTGCCAAGAGGGAACTGAGGACATTCGTCCCTGTCCTGGCTGGCAGTCCTCGAGGCGAGCGCACTTTTCAACGCGGCATGGCGGCCATGCTGCGAACGAAGGACTGGGAGCGGAGCTACCCCAACCTCGTCCGCCTCTGGACAGCGGTGGCTGTCCTGCCGCTCAGCACCGTCGAGTATGAGCGCGGCTTTAGCCGCCAGAACGTGATTAAGTCCTGGCAGAGGACCAGCCTCTGTGATGCTAGGCTCAGTGACCTGATGTGCCTGAGCCTGGTTGAGTATGACATGGAATGGGGTAAAGTTGTGGATTTGTGGCGCAGCAGCAAGAAGAGGATGTTAGAATAAGCAGGCAGGAATGGTAAGAACAGAAGAGGGGGTTTGCACTAGCAGGCAGGTGGGATACATATAGGAACCCTAAAAGGGTTGTACTCTCTGTTGAGTACCCCACTATAGCCTACACAGCAAATAACATTTTGACACACCCCCATAGGCGAAGTGGGGGATAGCCAACACAACAAGCAGTCGCAGGACCAGTTCACAAGCAACGCCTAGTGGCAGAAACAGTGGACAAGTGAGGAGGAGGAGGGACCAGGAGAGAAGAGGAGGAGGTGGGCGGCCGCTGAAGCTGCTGGCACACGACGCAAACTGGAGTGGCGCACGAACAACTGGTGCAACTGGCACACGGGCAACTGGAGTAACTGGCTCTGCTCGCCAGCAAGAGCATCTGACCCACGGCCGACTGGAGCAACTGGCACACAGGCTCCTGACGCAACGGACTCACGGGCGACTGGAGCTGCAGACTTCACGACGGCTACCTCCGTTCAACCTCCCCCCATTGCCCCAAACCCCCTTTTCACATCCCCCTCTGCATCCCTAGCACCACTCCCTCAGCTCCCACACCATCCCCCCCTCAGCGGCAGCTGCAGCAGTGGGAGAGAAAGGAGGAGGAGGAGCAGCCGATCACTCACGCCCGCCACCCCCATACCCTCCCCCCCACGGCTGCACGCGCAGCAGGGAGATGAAGGAGAAGAGGGGGGGGCGGGGGGGGGGCGGGGTAGGAGCTGCCCCGCGACTGCAGGGGCAGGCGCGCGGGCTGCAGAGGCGGCGCACGGGCTGCAGGGGCAGCGCACAGGCTGCAGGGGCGGCTCGCGGGCTGCAGGGGCGGCTCGCTGGCTGAAAAACCGCCGCCCCCCCGAGGCGCGCGGGAGCCACAGGGCAGCGCGCGCGGGGGCACGGGGCGGCGCGCGGGTCCCACAGGGGCGGCGCGCGGGTCCACGGGGGCGGCGCGCGGGTCCCACGGGGGCGACGCGCGGGTCCACGGGGGCGACGCGCGGGTCCACGGGGGCGACGCGCGGGTCCCACGGGGCGGCGCGACGGGTGCACGGGGGCGGCGCGACGGGTGCACGGGGCGGCGCGCCGAGCAGAAAACCGCCGCGCACCACGGGGCGCGCGGCGGGCAGAAAACCGCCGCGCACCACGGGGCGCGCGGCGGGCTGAAAAATGTCGCGCGCCCGGGGCGCGCGACTAACAGAATAGCAGCGGAAGCAGTAGGGTGGACCCTTCCACAGGATCGACCAAGGAGGGTCGACCTGCTCTGATAGCATGTTAGAATAAGCAGGCAGGAATGGTAAGAACAGAAGAGGGGGTTTGCACTAGCAGGCAGGTGGGATACATATAGGAACCCTAAAAGGGTTGTACTCTCTGTTGAGTACCCCACTACAGCCTACACAGCAAAAAACATTTTGACAGAGGAGGCCTACTAGGAGAAGGGAGAAGCAGAGGCACAGGCCAGTGAGTGCGGCGGGGAGGGGGGGGAACGTGTTGGAGGACGGACAAGAAGCAGATACTGAACATGGGAGCAGCAGCAGCAACGACAGTGGGTTTAGTAGCAGCAGCGATGATGATGATGAGGAGGAGGGCTACGAGGAGGTGTAGGAATTCCTTTTGTAGTAAAACTCCAACTATATATGCTGCTCTCTGCTCTGCTCAGCACAGCAGAGTCTGGTCTGGTCTGGTATGTGTTAAATTCTGAACCCTGGAATTGGTTAGGTTCGCTGATACAGTAAATAAAAGTATGGTACCTGAGAGGTTTTCCTGAAATCGGTCGTTCTGAAGAGGCAAAAACAATGGTTGGTAGGGTATGTCATAGATGGAACTTCAGACATCATTTTCCTCCTTCACGTCAAACTCGGTATCACGTACCGGTAGCGGTACAAGTTACGGTACAACCCTGTTTAACTTGGCACATGGCCATTTTGTCACATACCGGTAACTCAGTTGTGCTTCAGGTGTGCCTGCCTGTCACAACCCCCGAAGCAGAGGCAGCAGCAGCAGCAGTGACGATGGTCGAAGTGCGAAAGAAGCAATTGTATGGATGGAGGAGGCAGGCAAACGCATGCTCCGCTGCACACGTGCTGCTCGCATTACACGTGTGCACTGCACTTGAGTCATCTGTGCCGGTTGCATAACACATGTGCACTGCACACATGTCATCTGCAGCAGTACACCCGTACATGGCTCACATGACCACCGCCACATCTGTATGGGTGGATACACTAGCTGCTGCTGCTGATAGGCGCAGAACTTGAGGGGAAAGGGGCGAACGCAGGTGGGGGATGGCACGTAGGTGCCAACACACATTCTGTGTGTTGCATTGCAGCAAAGCTCCCACAGCAGTGCACACCCCCCTGCACACAGCCCAGGAGGGTCAGGGACATGTTCCATGTACCAGTAACATGGGAAGCAAGCACAGAGGGAGGAGGAATGGAATGTAGAGGACTGGCAATGCAGGAAGGCGAGTATTCCCCGCAGAGTGAACATGCTGTGCCTGCCATTGCAGGTAGGTATGCACACATCTGCTGTGGTAGGTAGACCAGAAGAACAAGAAAGAACAGTAAGAACACTAAACAAGCACTAACAGTGATTGACAACACTGAAGGTGCGTGCGTCATGCATGTGCAAGTGCAGCAACATACACATGTGCTCTGTGGGTATGATATTAACTGCGCTGGCGCTTGGCTGCTTGTCTGGTCACCCTGCCTGTACCCATGGCAGTCACAGTCACAGCACCACCACCACCACCACTTCCACTTAGCCCCGTCACTGAAGCCTTCACCTCCTCCGTAGCCTCCACCACTGACAACGCCCGTACCCCTGACCCTTGCCCTGCACTTGTCGATGGTGCTGCAGTGGCAGTAGCAGTGGAAACAGCACGCCTACCTCGCTTCCCTCTACCACTCGCAATGGCTGTCACATCTGCAGCAGCAGCAGCTGCAGGGGTGGCTGCTGTTGCAGATCTTGCCCTTCGTGCTGGTGGCGCTGCTCTCGCCCTTGCTCCAACGCTGTCGTCACCAGACTCGTTGGCAACCGGTAATTCACTTCCAGCTGTCTGACTCTGACCTATGCTCCTTCCGATGCTGTCTTCTTCACCATGCTCTGAAGCTCCAGATTCAACAAGGGGTTCTTGTCCCCGCCCATCCTCACTCTCACTCCCATTTCTATTCCGGATCCCCTCCTCATCCTGCCTTGCCTCATCCTCCTCCCTTTCCTCTCGCTTCGGCCGACCCACTCGGCTTTTTGCTGCCCTTGCAGCAACGGCTGCTCCTGTTCCCTTAGAATCTCCTCTTGCTTGCCTACGGCTGTTCTTTGTGTTGGACCCTTTTTGTAAAACAACACGCCCGGTCTTGACCTTGCTTCTCTTCCCTCCTCTCTTGCCTACTGCATCACCTTCCTCCTCCTCATCCATCTCCTCTTTCTCCTCTTCCATTCCATCTGCCTCTTCCTTGCCCTCCTCCTCTTCCTCCTCCTCCTCGTCTTGCTCCTCGTCCTCCTCATCCCCCCCACCCACTCTTCCACGACGCCCCTTCCTCCCCACCACACCTTCTGCGCTACTCCCATTCGCCCTGCTTGCTTCTGCCGCCACTGCCATTGCCTCTCCACCTCTCCTCCTCCTCAGGCTCCTCCCTGCCCCTCTCTCAGCAGCCCCTGCGGCAGCCTTGGTCCCACGAGGCAGCTTCTGCACTGCTGGCACTATGGCTGAGGTCTGACAGTTGAGGGCGAGTGGGGGGAGAGAAAGGGTGACGAGGGGAGGAAGGGCAAAGGACACACTCTTGATTGGCCTCGGAAGACAGCTTCTGCTCTGCCTGCACAGTGGCTGCCTGCACAGTGGCTGCCTGCACAGTGGCTGCCTGCACAGTGGCTGCCTGCACAGTGGCTGCCTGCATCTTGGTGGTATGGTCGCTACATGTTAGTCACGATCGCATGTGAGGCAAGCACAAGCGGCAAGAGGCGGAACAGGGAGAACGAGAGAGAGAGAGAGGAGCGAGAGACAAGGGGGAGTGATAGGGGGGAAGGGTGGAAGGGAGCATACCCGGCCAGCCACGGTGATGAAGCTGAGCGGATGGCCTGCAGTGCAGAGAGAGCGATGTGGGGGTGGGGGTGACAGCGCAACAGAGAGATGCAGAGGGAGAGACGCAAGGAGAGGTGCACGACTCTGGGTTTGGCAAGTGGAGCCCTCCGCATGGCATCCGGTAGAGGCACATCGAGAAAAGGGAGTCAAGATGGACCAGAGTCTTGAATGTCAACTTTTGACCTTAGTCTTGAATGTCAACGTTTGACCTTAGTCTTGAATGTCAACGTTTGACCTTAGTCTTGAATGTCAACGTTTGACCTTAGTCTTGAATGTCGACGTTTGACCTTAGTCTTGAATGTCAACGTTTGACCTTAGTCTTGAATGTCAACGTTTGACCTTAGTCTTGAATGTCAACTTTTGACCTTAGTCTTGAATGTCAACTTTTGACCTTAGTCTTGAATGTCAAGTTTTGAGACGTCCCAAAAGGAATCAAGATGGACCAGAAATCGATTGTCAACCTAAAGCTTTGAAGCCCTTTGGATTTGAAACCTTGACACATCACGATAACAGCATGTGGGATTGTAAGTGCGAGGGAGAGCGTACCGGCGATGGAGCCGGGTTTCTTGGACCAGCGCACGTGGAAGAGCCAGGAGGGTGGGAAGCGGTCACTGTCCGCGTCTACTGCCACGGACTTGCTTATCACCTGATGGGCGGTGGGGGGGGGGAGGACAGGGGCATGCGACTTTTGAGGCGCCTCAAAAGTCTACTGCCACGGACTTGCTGATGACCTGCTGGGCGGGGGGGGGGGAGGGAGGGGCATTTGCGGGCAGAAGGGACCAGAGAAGAGGGAGGGGGAGAGGTGGGCGTGGGAAAAGAGGGCAGGAGGAGGATAGTTGAGAGCAGTGTGATGGTCAAGGTATTGGTAGAACATGATGCTGTGCCGTGTGCCGTGTGCCGCGGTGAGGAGGCGATGCGAAGCTGCATTGCTTGGTGCTCCTGACGCGCCCAAGCTCACGTGATGAATGGGGAGAAGCCCGCCGGGCTTCTCCCCACATAAGATGCACCGGTGCCCGCCGGTGCATCTTATGTCGTTCGCCCAAGTCCTGTCGAATGCCCGCCGGGGCCCCCCACGTCCCCCTCCCCCACCTGCTGCAAGGAGGGGTGCAGAGCGGTGCTGTGCGTGCCCCAACCCACCTGCTGAATGGAGGAGTGCAGGGCGGAGCAGTGCGCGTCCGTGAGCAGTGCGGAGGGGGTCTCTGGGTGCAATTGTGACTGATGGGGGGACGAGACGGGGGGCAGGGGAGGGCATCGGGGGAGGAAATGGGTAAGCCTAAGGCTTGGTACTGTAGGGATACCGTTAACTCGACTACAGGGATACCATTACCAGGTATTAGACTATTGCAAGAAACTGAAAATTGTGCGCTGGAGGGGAGGGCAATGGGGGAGGATTGAAAGGGGGCAGTTGGGAGGTGGGAAGGAGTATGGGGGGAGGAGGAAAGGGAGGGAGTGTTAGGCATGGCAGACAGGAGCGGGCAAGGAGGAGGGGGTGGTGGTGTTTAAGAAAGGTAAGAGAAGATGAGGGACGCACGGAGGACAAGAAGGGAAACGAGGAATGAGGGAATGCATAGCAGGGAAGCTTGAACACTGTGGGGTAGGGGTAGGTGGAGTAGAGTAATGGCAGCGCACACATGAAGAGAAGGCACGAATAATGTGGTAGACTAGTGGCACTGCACTGCACTGCACTGCCAAGCAAGCAAGCAACCCTCCATTGCTCACTGGCTGGCTCACTCACCTGGTATAGCACTTCATCCGCCAACCAGTTGCCTATGCCGCTCAGCACTGCCTGCAGGCACGCATGCATGCACACATGCACACCCACACCCACACACACACCCATACACAGGAGGAGGGAAAGAGAACTCGTGGCGGCAGGAGGGAGGAGGGGATGGGGAGAGAGATAGGACTGGTTGAGAGAGAAGGGGACGCCGGCCAGAGAGGAGGTGGCTTGAAAAGTGCATGCGGTGGTGTGGTGTGTGGCCCTTACGACACCCCTGAGATTCAGAATCCTCAACAGCGGCATTCCCATGAGATCACGAGATGGCGTTGGACATTACCAGGTTTATGCGCCCATTCTATAATCCACGAGCCCCCAACCCCCTGGTCCATGAGCCCCCAACCTATGTTGAAAGCACATTTGAGAATTCTTAAAACTGGTCCATGAGTCCCCACCCACCTGGTCCATGAGCAAAGCCTTGACTGCTCGTGAGCGGCGGCGCAGGAGAGCAGCGAAGGAGGCGGGGTCGGGCAAAGAAAGCAGCACATCGGGGCCTAGCTGCGCCACAGGGGGGCACAGCAACGGCTGGGTTGGAAGAGGGGGAGTTGAGGAAAGCGGGAGAGGAAGAGGCAGAGCGAAGAAAGGAGACGGTGATTCATTCGCCTCAAGATAAGAGACTGAATCACATTGACAGAGAGCAGCATGTGTGGGCCTGGCCGCGCGGCCTGTGCCACGGGGGGCCACAGAAGGGGCTGGGGAAATGGAGGGGGAGAGGGAGGATATTGGGGGCGGGTGTAGGGGGTTGGTGCAAAGTGGAATGGGATGGATGGGATGGGATGGGATGGGATGGGATGGGATGGGATGGGATGGGATGGGATGGGATGGGATGGGATGGGATGGGATGGGATGGGATGGGATGGGATGGGATGCGATGCGATGGGATGGGATGGGATGGGATGGGATGGGATGGGATGGGATGGGATGGGATGCGATGGGATGGGATGGGATGGGATGGGATGGGATGGGATGGGATGGGATGGGATGGGATGGGATGGGATGGGATGGGATGGGATGGGATGCGATGGGATGGGATGGGATGGGATGGGATGAGATGGGATGGGATGGGATGGGATGGGATGGGATGGGATGGGATGGGATGGGATGGGATGGGATGGGATGGGATGGGATGGGATGGGATGGGATGGGATGGGATGCGATGCGATGGGATGGGATGGGATGGGATGGGATGGGATGGGATGGGATGGGATGGGATGGGATGGGATGGGATGCGATGGGATGGGATGGGATGGGATGGGATGGGATGGGATGGGATGGGATGGGATGGGATGGGATGCGATGGATGGATGGGATGGGATGGGATGGGATGAGATGGGATGGGATGGGATGGGATGGGATGGGATGGGATGGGATGGGATGGGATGGGATGGGATGGGATGGGATGGGATGGGATGGGATGGGATGCGATGGGATGGGATGCGATGGGATGGGATGGGATGCGATGGGATGGGATGGGATGGGATGGGATGGGATGGGATGGGATGGGATGGGATGGGATGGGATGGGATGGGATGGGATGGGATGGGATGGGATGCGATGGGATGGGATGGGATGGGATGGGATGGGATGGGATGGGATGGGATGGGATGGGATGGGATGGGATGGGATGGGATGGGATGGGATGGGATGGGATGGGATGGGATGCGATGGGATGGGATGGGATGGGATGGGATGGGATGGGATGGGATGGGATGAGATGGGATGGAATAATTTGGGATGTGAGCTGACATGGGGAGTGTGCTAGGGAGGGAATGGCACGGTAGAACCGTTTACGCTGAACCCTTCCCTCCCAACCCAACTCCTCTCTTCCCCTTCGCTCCCCTCCCAGCGCCCCGCCTCCCCAACTCCCAACGCTCCCAGTCCCCTCCCACCCTCCCTCCCACGCGCTCACATCAGGCGCGAGGCGGATGCGGCCGAAGCGACGCGCATCCGTGAAGGCCAGCTGCACCCCGCCCTCCGCCTGCACGGGGGGGACAGGCGAATGGGTGGAGAGAGGGTGAGCGGATGAAAAGGGTGAGATGGGGGGAGCGGAGGAGGCGGGGAGGAAGGGGCGGGAGGTGGAGAGGAAGAGCAAGGTCCATGTGAGTCAAAATACTGGACATGTGGCAGGTGGTTTGTGCTCAAGTGCGTGAGACATCATGGATGCTGCAGGCACGAACCCCACATGCCACCCCCCCCCACATGGCACCTGCCCCAGACGCCACCTGCCTGCAGCACGAGCTTGTGGAACCGCGGCGGCCACTCGTCTGCTGGCGACACTGCCAGCCTGGCAACCCCCCATGGCAAGCGCACACGAGGAATGGGGCGGCAAGGGGGGTAGACGGGTGCGGTAGCAGAAGTGGAAGGGGAAGGAGAAAGGGAGTGGGGGGAGGAGGAGAGGTGGTGGATAAGGAGTGTGAGCGGGCAAATGGTGCACTGTAACGGCATGCCCAGGGTAGATAGCACCGTGGCACAGATTGTGCTCTAGTGGGGAGTCTTTTGAGAGCAGAAAGTCCAAAAAGGGGAAAGGGCACCACAAGAGTAGTTGCTGCGGGCCTGGCCACGCTGCTGCAACTCGCGCAGAAGGAAGTAACGAAGCTGGATGTGCTTCGCCTTCCCAACCAGTCGGGGCTCCTTGCACAACAGGACAGCAGACCTGTTGTCGGCGGCCTCACAGCTGGAACTGGAGACTAACGATGCCCGAGTCGAGCTCCACAAAACAGCTCCAGTCCCAAAACTGAAGAGATGCGGGCCGGGGGTCGGGGGCGGTGGGGTCCGGTGGTGGGGGGCGGTGGGGGAAGGTGCTGTGCGCACGTTACCTTTTGTAGCGCACGACGTTCTCCCCTTTGATGGCGAACGCTCCCGCCATGCCTGCACCATGCACCATGCACCATGCACCATGCACCATGCATCATGCACGCAGAGGGATTGACGTAGGGAGAGAGGGGAGATGGGCCGCAGCGACGAGGGATTGCTTGCAGGCAGAGGACAGCAAGGGTGCAGGAGCGCGATGAACAGGTGAGCGGATGGACACTGGAAGGTTGAGAGGAGAAGACGGCAGAGGGGGCGAGAGAAGGGGAGGGAAAGGGAACGGGGAGGGGGAGGGGGAGGGAAGGGGAAGGGAGAAGGGGAGGGGAAGGGGGGGGAAGGGGGAGGGAAGGGGGAGAGAGAGCGGGAGGGAAGGGGGGGGAAGAGAGGGGAAAGTGTTGGGAGGAAGGGACGTAGGAGCAGGAACGGCGGCGCGTGTACCGAAGTGGAAGAGCAGCATGGGCCGCTGGTCTGGCAGCAGACAAAAGTGCCTTTTAAGGCGCCTCAAAAGTCGAAAGTCCTACCGAAGTGGAAGAGCGGCATGGGGGGTTGATCTAACAACAGCCACAGGTGCTTGCCCTTGCGCCCCGCGCCCACCACCACGCGCCCCTGCAGCGCCGCGCGCACCTCCTCCGCGCTGCACCCCTCCAGCACCTTCTCGTCCTCCGCCACCACTACCGACAGAATCCGCCGCCCCACCAGGTGCGCCTCCGCTGCGCGCCGAGCTGCCTCGACCTCGGGAAGCTCGGGCATGGCGCGGAGAAGGAAGGTACCCGGAAATAAGGGGAGCCCGCCGGAGAAGGGCAAGCAAGGGAGATTCGGGGAACGCGTGGGTGAGGGGCGAGCAGCGGAGGTATTCTAAAGGATGGTGAAGGGGCGGGAGGGGAGGCGGGAGGATGGGAATAACTAGCGCTTCCGTCTCGCGCAGTGATGTCGCACAGTTATCAAAACGCCAGCCGCGTCGAAGAGCTGCGCACTGTCGCACATGCTTCGTGTTTGTACTTGAATGCCGTTGGCGAAACTTTCGACACGTTCTCGCTTTCGGTTTCTGCCACGTACTGCGACACAGGCCACTCATCTCAACCCTGTAACAATATTCAAATCAGCCAATTTTTGTTAGCCGATTCGCGACATCTTTCGCCAGCAACAGCACGGCAGTAACAGATCGTATACAGTAGTCTATAAAACAGTTTTAGCCGCTGAATCGGTAACGACTTTCTCAATAACGACCGTGACGCATGTTTCCCGCCGTTGGCGTCAAGACGACGCAGCCTGCCTGACTCGCCTCACCCCAGCCCAGAGATTCCCCGCAGCAGTCAGCAGTTCAGCACCTGCTGTTCCTCTCTCGCATTCCAGCATCTCTCCGCCCGCCCTCGTCCGTCCCACGGGCCACAGCCTCAGTTCGTGCTCTGGTGGGAACGGGACGGGAACCTTTTGCCGGACTGCAAGGCTTGCTTCCACCCGTCCGATCCCAACCGATCGCATTCCATCGCATCGGATCGCGTCCCATCCCGTCCCCCGTGATTGCGCTGTCCACAGCACACGCCGAGTCGCGCGCCGCGATCCCTCTCGTGCCGCCACGTGCCTGGCAGAAGCAAGCTCGCACACCCGCTCACACTGTAACAGCTCGCTCAGAGTCAACGCCGTCAACGCGGTCAAGGCAGTCAACGCCGTCAGTGCCACCAGCGCACAGTCCTCCCCCATCCCCTCCCCTCCGCGTCGTCCGCGCGCGGCATCGGATCATAAAAGCCCAGGAATCGGAGAAATTCCTTTCGAAGCGTCGCAGCAAGAGCAGCGGCGTCCGTGCGTCCGTGCGTCCGTGCGTCCGTGCGTCCGTGCGTCCCTGCGTGCGTGCGTGTATGCGACTGTGCGATGCGCATCGTGTCGTTCAACGTCAACGGGCTGCGCGCGCGAGTGCAGCAGCACGGCTCGCTCGGCGCGCTGCTCTCCGCGCTCGACGCTGACATCGTGTGCTTGCAGGTGCGACCGACTACCGCACTACTACAATCTCGCTCACCAGATGCCATGTCACCAGCAGCAGCAGCAGCAGCACCACCACCACCACCAACAATCAACCAACACCACCGTTATTATCCAATTGGGCACGTGGAAGAGAGAATGCTGCACAGGATCGGCCAGGGTGATAGCGGGTGTAACCGTAGGTTCACCCTGGTACACCACAATAGCCCGCACCACCACGTGTCGCCTGGGCCTGCCTGCAATACCGCTTCACTTCACCCTACTCCGCCTACTCTCCCCCACCCTTTCTCTTCTTCCCCGCCTCTTCATCCCCCTTTCCCCCTTCCTCCTGATCCGTCCGCGCTGCCAGGAGACGAAGCTAGCGCGGCAGGACGTGACAGCGGACGTGGCCATCACCCCCGGCTACGAGGCCTTCTTCTCCTTCAACCGCGCCCCCTCCCGCGGCCGCCTCGCCTACTCCGGTCTCTCCTCGCCTCCGCCACTCTTTCCCTGCCCTGCCCACTCTCTGCAGTCCCACACACAACACCCCCTCATTATAAGCACTTGTGCATGCGGGCGTGCTTGGTGGAGATGCCTCCGAGGCGACGGGGAGAAATTTTAGGGTCCCGCTCACTCAAGGGAGATAGTTTGGGCCGTCCATCTGTCCACCAAGGCAGATATGGTTGTGGTAACGCCAAATTAAATGCGGTCGGTCACCACAACCATCTTTCGCCTTTGCTTTGCTACTGCCCTGCCCTGTGCCGCTGCCCTATTGGAGTCCTTTGTTCCTAACCCTTTCATTCACCCCTGGCCACTTTGCTTATCCGATTGCTGCTGCTCCATGCGTGCAGGAGTGGTGACTTTCTGCCGTGTGCCCTCTGCTGCAACCTGCACCAATTCCCATGCTGCCACCACTGGCGCCACCACCACCACCACCACCACCACCTCTTCCCACACCACCCACAGCACTACCACCACTACCCCTACCCCTACCCCTACCACCACAGCACACACAGCCACCAACGCTGCATACAGCACCACCCATGCCGCATCCACCAACAGCACCAGCACCAGCAGCTGCAGCTGCAACAGCAGCAGCAGGGGAGAGTGGGATGCGATGCCATTAGCAGCAGAGGACGGCTTCACAGGCCTGCTCGCGCCTGCCAGGGACCCTTGCACCAGTACCCCTGCCAGTACCAGTACCAGTACCCCCATCACCAACAGTACCACCCGCAGTGGGAGATGCATTGTGACACAGGGAGGGGAGGGCGGGGGAGAGGCAGCGTGGAGGGAGGGGGTGGGGGAGGTGGTGGAGGTGGAGGGGGTGAGCAGGAAGGAGCTGAGGCGAGTGGACAGCGAGGGCCGATGCGTCGTCACCCACCATGCCTCGTTCGGTATGGCGCGAGCACCTGTGGGCCCTGCCATGGGATGGGATGGGATGGGATGGGATGGGATGGGATGGGATGGGATGGGATGGGATGGGATGAAGCGAAATGTGTTTGTTCCACTCCACTGTCCATTGGCTTTCCTGCTTCCCTCTCTTCTATCCCCACCATCTCCCATCCCCCCATTCCTTCTCCCTCCCCATCCCAATCCCCCATCCACCTGTCCCCCAGTGCTATTCAATGTGTACGTGCCGCGAGTGGCCCCAGGGGATGCCGAGCGCCTGCGCTTCAAAATGAACTTTCTCACGGCGCTTCAGGTGCTCGGTCGTTGTCAGGTGGTAGGCAGTTTATGCACTCCTCCAGTCCTCGTCTCTTCCCCTCCCCCTCTCCTCTCCTCCTCCTCCGCCACCCTCCCTCAACCCCCACCCCTTCCTTCCCCTCTCCCTCGCTCTGCCCTCTCCCTAACCCCAACCCCTCCTCCACCACTCTACAAGCGGCACACGCAGCAAGTTGTTCAGGTGATGCCTGGGCGAATGCCTGGTCACTTGTTTATGTGCTTCAGGTAATGTTCCCTCCTTCCTCCTCCTCTCCCTCCTTCCTCCTCCTCTCCTTTCGTCCTCCTCCTCATCCGGTCCTCTCTCACACAATGTATCCTCCTCAATCTCTCCCCTTCCCATGCTCCGCTCTCTTCCACAACCCCCCCACACCTCCCCTCCGCCACCATGAGCGGCGCATGCAGCGGGAGCTGCACCTCTCCTCCGCTGCAAGTGCTGCAAGTGCTTATTTCCACACCCTTCCCGCCACTCCTCTACCAACGGCGCATGCAGCAGGAGCTGCACCTGTCCTCCTCTGGCAAACGCTGCAACCCCTCTCTTCCACTCCCCCACCCCCCTCCCCCCTAACCACCACCGTACCAGCGGCGCATGCAGCGGGAGCTGCAGGCAGGAGGCAAGGCGGTGGTGGTGGCGGGGGATTTCAACATCTGCCCTCACCCCATCGACTCCTGCGACCCTTGCTCGGACTTTGATAGTAACCCGTATGTGGGATTGGATAATGGGTGGGCTGATCGGGATGGTTGGCTTCTATGCTGTTGCATGGGTGCGATGGGATGGGTTGGTTGGGTAAATACTTCACTTATGAAACCATTTGTTCATCCGTCCATCCACCCATCCATCCGTCCGTCCGTCCGTCCGTCCGTCCGTCCGTCCGTCCGTCCGTCCGTCCGTCCGTCCGTCCGTCCGTCCGTCCCTCCATCCATCCATCCATCCATCCATCCATCCATCCATCCATCCATCCATCCATCCATCCATCCATCCATCCATCCATCCATCCATCCATCCATCCATCCATCCATCCATCCATCCATCCATCCATCCATCCATCCATCCATCCATCCATCCATCCATCCGTTGACACTCACTCCCCCATGCACCCTGCCCACCCATTCCTACCTGATCCCATCACATACCATCGTATCTCATACCATCCCATCCCATCCCAACCCATCCCATCTCACCCCACCATGTCACTCTGTCAGGTGCCGCCAGTGGCTACACGGGTTGATGGGAAAGCGCCCCTGCTCCAAAACTACCACCATCGCGCCCTCACAGCTCACCCCACACCCCCAACCACCGCATACACCTGTGCGTGAAGCTGCAGCTGCAGCATCACAATCAACAGCCGCAGCAGCAGTAGCAGCGGTAGCAAAATCACAATCTATATCAAGGGGCTGTGAGGCATGGCGGGGAGAAGAGCGAGGTTCAGCAAGTCCCAGTGGGGAGAAGGGCGAAATCCTGGCAACGTCACAGGGAGAGCAGGCAGCAGGGAGCAAGGAGCAGGGAGCACAAGGGGAGCAGGTGCCCTTTGTCGACACCTTCAGAGCCTTCCATCCCACCAGGTGACCCCTGCCTGCCTGTTGACAAGCCATGGCGGACAGGCAACCTGGGCGAGTTCCTGACAAGTCGCGACAGAGCTAGTTGGGTTGGGCTAGTTGGGAGCTTGGTGCCTCGTGGGAGTCTGTCTCTCCTGCTTCTCCACACACATATCGCCTCCGCACAAGCTCTAAATTGTCCCCAAACCCTCTCACCTCGAACCCCTTTCGTTCCTCCATACCAGTCCGCCTGCTCTGCTCTGCTATTCTCTGTTCCTCTCTGTTCCTTTCTGATCCTCTCTGCCCACTGCTTCCTGCCCATCAGGCGCGAGGCGTACACATGCTGGTCGGCTGCGAGTGGAGCAGAGGAGTTCAACTACGGTGTGCGCATCGACCTCATTCTCGTTGCCGGGCCCTGCTTCGCCTGCCCCTTCTCTACCTCCTCCTCTCCCTGTTCCTGCTCCCGTCGCCGACTCTCCTCCTCATGCGCGCCCGCCCTTGCCTCTTCTTCCTCGTGTTGCTCTCAAGTGTTTAACTGCCACCATGCTGCGAATCAGTTGCCGCAGCAGCAGCATCAACAGCAGCAACAGCAGCAGGAGGAGGAGGAGGAGCAGCAGCAGCAGCAGCAACAACAACACCAGCAGCAGCACTCGTTTGCAGCGTGTGATGTGGTGGCAGCAGACATTCTCCTCCACTTCCGCCGCTTCAAGCACGACTCCCTGCCACGGTATCCACCATGCCATACCATGCTGTGCGGTGCGGTGCCGTGCCGTCCTGTGCTGTGCTGTGCTATGCTGTGCTGTGTTCTATCTGTTGGGGTGTAAGGTTTTGGGACCCATCCCTCTTTCTCCTTCCACCATGCCTCTGCCTCACCCACCATGCTTCTCTTTCCTCTCTCCCCGTTCTCCATGCTCCATGCTGCATGTTCCATGCACCCACCACAGCTGGCATCAGGGCCGATCGGTGCGGCTGCAAGGATCTGACCACGTGCCTATTGCCATACAGCTAAGGGACCCCACCGCGCTGCACCGCTCCGTGCCGCACTGCACTGCATCCCCTCATACCGCACCACACCGGACTGCAACTCAGCAAACCCCAGTTCACTGTACTGCATCGCAAGGGACTGCAGCGTGCCGCGTGCAGGCAGTGCCAGCACTGGCGGCTCGGTTCATGCCGGAGATAAGGGGCAGGCAGGCCACTCTAGGGGAGGCGTGGAAACGGGAGGTCCGGCAGGCAGGGAGGGTGGGCGAGAGAGCGAGGGTTGGCGAGGCAGGGACGGTGGGCGAGGCAGGGACGGTGGGCGAGGCAGGGGAAAATGCGAGTAATGGGATAGGTCAGGAGGACGTGTTTGGAAAAGGGTATGAGAATCGGGATGAGGGATGCCTTGCTAGAGTGGGCTCTGCTGCTGTGGGCTGCTGCTGCAGTAAGGATGGAGGACGTGGGAGCCTGGAGGGTTTGGTTGGCAAGGGCAACCCTGGTATTCACACCACGACAGCACCTGCTTTGGTTGCAGTAACGTGCAGTTTTGGGGAATGCACCAACAGCCAGCACATCGCTGCCACTCCACCTGCTGCTACTCCATCCGTGGCAGTCGCTGATGCAGCGGTGAGAGAAGCGGCAGCGGTTGCAGCGGCAGCAGCAGCAGCTTGTGATGGTGCTGGTGGTGGTGGTGGTGATGGTGATGGTGGTGTTATTGTTGGTGTTGGCAGCAGAGCCAGTGGAAGGATTATGAGGCAGGGTGGGAGAAATGGAACAAGACGAAGGGGAGAAGGGGGGAGGGGAGGAGGAAGAAAGGGGCGAGGAGGAGGTGGGGAGCAGATGCGATTGCAGGCGTTTTTTAGACCAGAGAACAGAAGGCAAGCAGCAGTAGAGGTGGGAGAGGGTGAAGGATGCAGAGCGAGGGGGGAAGGAGGAGTGTGGGGAACTGATAGAAGGGTGGCAGGAGGAAGTGTGAGAGGGGAGAGGAGGGAAGTGGTAGTAGCAGCAGCGGTGGGGGAAGTTCAAGGGGTGTGTGCTGCCACAGAGTGGGGAGCAGCGAGAGCAGAGGGAGCAGAGAGAACAGAAGGAGCAGAGAGAACAGAGGGAGCAGCGAGACGGATGCAAGTAGGGAATCAAGTTGTGATGACTCATCTCTGCATAGGCCAGAGGGAAGGCGAGGAGGGTGGAGCGGATGTGGGATGGTGTGGAAGGATCAGTCCTGGGGGAACACAGGCAGCAGCTGCTCAGGACGCTCTGTGCATAGTAGGTGGGTGGAACAGGGAACGCACTGGGGAGGAGGGTGCACATGCACATGCACATGCGGGAGCAGCGGCGGCATGTGATGGTGATGCAGCAGAAGAAGCAAGGATGCACGGGTGGATTCAGCAGCAGCAACAACAACCACAGCAGCAGCAGCAGCAGCAGCAGCAGCAGCAGCAGCAGCAGCAGCAGCAGCAGCATGAGCGGTTGCAGCAGTGGCAGGGGGTGTTAGCGCGCATGCAGGCAGGGCTGCCGCGGTGTGCGGGGCATGGCGAGGCGTGTGTGGTGCGCGTGGTGAAGAGGCCAGGTGCCAACAAGGGCAGAGGCTTCTATGTCTGTGCTCGAGCCAAGGTCAGTCATTGCCAACCTGTAACCTGCCACTGCCGCCCTGCCACTGTCAGCCTACTAGCTGTAAGCAACCAGCACGGTGATTGCTGCTCGTTGCTTGCTGGATGCCAAGATGAACCATCTTCAGGCATTCAGGAACATGAATCCATTCCAGCATGGGTTCAAGCAGCTGCAAGTGCGGTACTGTTGGCAACCCCGATGAACCATCTTCAGGCATTACTACAGTTTGCTTTGCAATGTTATACGTATATGCCTTGTTCAGTTTGCTATTACAGTGGCAGATATATATATATGAATCTACGGTACCCCTAAAAGTTACTGGGCGAATTTGAACTAGCTACGGTAATCATCACATGAATTCTATTTAGAAAAAACACCAAGTAACTAACACTACAAGTAATGTACTTATTCCAATTCAAAGCTACGGTACATCCTACAGTATCACTACGAACACACATGCACACACACACACACACACAAGTATAAATGGTTCATCTACTAGATGCCAAATCCTTCCCTGCTACTATCTATTGCGGCCTACCACCACATCACCCTCCCCCCTCCCTTTTCTCTACCCACACCAACCATCATGCGATCACTTCCGCCTCACCCCCTCAGCCCTCACCCCCTCAGCCCTTCACTTCCACCAAAGCTATCTAGCCACTTTCCCCAGGCACACACTAGCAGCACTCAGTATATGTAATCGGCCCCTGTATGGTTTCCCCCTTCTTTGCTAACTGTCCAACGGTTTCCCTTCTCTTCACAGAATGCGGGACGAGGCAGTCGGTGCAGACAGCTTCCTGCCTTGTGCTGCGGCACCTGCACTCACACACATTGACACCAGCCCCGACCCCCATAGGAAAGAGGATAGGGAGGGTGCAGCACATGATCAGCAAAACGAGGATAGACACACAACAAAATAACAAAAGCACAAAAGAGTGCAAAACAACCAGGGAAAAGCACCGCGGCGCGGACAAACAAAAAAACCGACAACACATTACCACCACCACCGCCCACCAACCATTCCTCTCACCCCACACCCACCCACCCAAACTTCCCCAACCCCTCCCCTTACCCCCACACGCTCACCGTTCCTCTGCCCATTATTCGCTGCAGGTCTACCTCCCCTGGGTCCGCCCCACGGGGGCCGCTCTGCAGCAGCACCAGGCTTGGGGCTGGGGCTCCTCAGGCTCGTCGTCCACTTCTGAAACTGCACCGCCAGCGCATCACTCCTCTCCTCCGCACCCGCCAAGTCATCCAAATCCGCCACACTCCCTCCTGCCACGCTGCTCGCTGCCGTATGAGTCCGGTCCACACTGCCCACCGACAGCCTCCTAGCTGCTGCCGCCGCCGCCGCCGCTCCTCCTGCTGTGTGTCCTGCTGCGGCTCCTGATGCTCCGGCCCTGCCGATGCCACTGCGAAGCGGGGATACGCCCGGGCGGGCGTTCAGACCTACTGTCGCGCCGGCACCCGCTGCTGCGCTGTTGCTGCCAAACGTGCTAGAGCGCTTCAGGCCAGTCGTGGTGAAGCCACCACCATTCCCGCCCCTCACCGTGCTACTGCTCTCCCTCAGTGACGACTCCCACCCGCTCTTCTTCATCCCTCCTCCTCCACCTCCGCCCCTGTTGGCAGCAGCCGCAGCAGCAGCCGCAGTGGCAGCGGCATGGTGGTTGCTGCTGTTGATGCTCTTGCTGCCACGCCCACTGCTCAGCACATCCAGCCGATGCTCCCCTGCAAACGTACCGCCGTTGCCGCCGCCGCCAATGCTGCTGCGGTGAGACACCGACTGCCGTAGCGGCTGCAGCAGTGAGACACCGCCCTCCTCCCGCCTGCCGCTGCCACCCACCCCTCCGCCCACTCCAGGGCCCTTCAGCTTAGAAGCACCTGCGAGAGACGCCCTCCTTCCAGCCGCAGCAGCCGCTGCAACAGCACCACCGCCGTTACCTGCTGCTGCCCCAGTATCGCTAGCACCAGCGCTCTGGTTCGCGCGGTAACCGAAGCTCGTTCCTCCGCCCACCACCACCTCGTGCCCCTTCATCCCAATCCCCGCCGCAGCCGCCGCCTCTGCCGCCACAGACGCCGGCGCAGCAGCCGCTGCCGCCGCCACTGCAGTCACCAACGCCGCTGCAGCACCCCCCTGCTTCCGCTGCTGCCTCACACCACCACTGGCGCTGCTGCTGCTACCACTCTCCTGCACGTCCGGTAACCCAAACGCGTCTGTGCCCCTCCCCACGCCCTTGAGCAGAGAGCCCATGCCCTGCACTGGCACCTCCAGGCCTGAACCACAGCTCCCTTCCTGCTCCTCCGTGTCTCCACTCGCTCCCCTGCTCCTCCCTCCCTTGCTGCCGCTGCTACCAGGAGCAGGGTCCTGCAGCATCAGCAGCCTCCGGGACCCCGCGCCCAGGGTGTTGCTCGGGTTGCTCGCAGCCGAACCACCGACACCACCAGCACCAGCACCAGCACCAGCAGCAGCACCAGCAGCGCCCTTTCCGATTCCTCCTCCCACGCGGCTGGGAGACGCAGTGCCGCGGGCGGGGGAAGGCAAGGGAGCAGCGGCGAGGGAGTGCAGAGGCGAGATGAGACCTGACGTCGACACAGCCAGCGGCGACACAGGAGCGTGCCCGCCACCAGCAGCAGCAGAAGAGGGGCGGTGGGAGGAGCGGTCAGCACTGACAGACCTGCCCAGAGGGCCTCCCCTCGGGAGACTGCTCGCAACCCGCTCTCCTCCTCCTGCCATTGCTCCAGCAGCAGTCACCGCAGCACCACCCGCACCGCCACCGCCGGCAAGGCTGGTCCGGCGTCCCGCACGCGCCGCAGCAGCAGCACCGGCGCTCCCTCCGGCGCCCACGCCAGCGGCGCCAGTGCCAGCAGCCGCCGCAGCGCCCGCGGTAGCGCACACAGCAGGCGCCTTGGTCTTGCTAGCCGTAGACGCCGTGGGCGCGAGGAAACCCGCGGATTCCAGAGGCACGGGAGACTTGGCCGCCTGCCGCAGAGGGGACTTGACGGGGACCGCCGCTTGAGACGCAGCAGCTGCGCCAGCACCAGTGGCGGCAGTGGCGGCCTTCAGTCGAGCGCTCACCTCCGACACAGTCTGCACAACCGCGCTCTCCCCCTGAGACTCCGCCTGCGCCTCTTCCGTCGCAGGAGCTCCAGGCGACGCAGGTCGCGACCTCGCGACGGGCGACGGCGACGACGAGGCAGCCTGCGAGAGCGCAACGGGCGACGGCTGCGCGTAAGCAGCAGGCGGGGTCACAGGCCTCGTGACAGCCTCCGGCAAGAGAGCCGCGGCAGGAGCAGAAACAGGAGCAGGCGCGGCAGCGGGTGTAGGAGCAGCAGGGGGGGGAGGGCTGCCGGGCGGGCTGATGGGCCCCAGCGCGCTCTCCAGCCCCTCCGTCGTCACCTCTCGATCCCACTCGCCCTCGCTGCTGCCGCTGCTCGCGCTGCTGCTGCTGCTCGCAGCAGCCGGTGCTGCCGCTGCTGCCACCGCAACCTCCGCAGCCGGCACCACGGCCGTAGCAGACACACTCTGCTGCTGCTGGAACTGCTGCTGCTGCTGCAGGAGCAAGGCTTGGCGCGCAGAACCAGCCGTCAAGAGCGACGAGCCGCCGCGCCGGTAGTCGCGCTTGTAGCTGCGCTCGCTCTCCGTCTCGCTCCAGTCGCCCGCGGCGCTCCTGCAGTCCTCCCAATTCTCCTCATCATCATCTTCAAACACGTCCTCCTCCTCCTCCTCCTCCTCCTCCTCCTCTTTCCCCGTCTCCGCCTGCACCACCGCCTGCGCCTCCGCAAGCCTTTCCGCCTGCGATTCCGCCGCCTGCGCCTCATCCACGAGCTCGGCTGTCGCCGTCGCCGTCGTCGTCGTTGGCGCCTGGCCGTAATACGATTCCACCACTGGCACTATCTTCTCCCCCTCTTCCTCCTCCTCCTCATCCTCGCTCTCGCTCTCGCTCTCGCTCTCGCTCTCGCTGCTCGAGCTATATGCGTTGCTCCGCTCGATGGAATCCGCCTGCGCCTTTTCGCTCTCCCCTTCCGCCCACGTCTCCGCCTCCGCCTCCGCCTCCGCCTCCGCCTCCGCCTCTGCCGCGGAACTGCTCTCGCCCGCGAAGAGAGCGGTCGTCGCGGAAGCGGGCACAGCGGCGGACGTCGATTGCTCCTGTTCCTGCGCCTGCTCCTGCGCCTGCGGGAGCGGGAAAGGATGGCCCGCGCGGATGCCACTCTGGCTGTGCTCCGGGCTCGCTGCCGCGCCATAGTCCGGCGCTCGCTTGGCGCGCAGCATCACCGTGTCGTCGTCGCTTCCGTAGTCGATCGGCGACTTGAACTCCGCCGCAGCAGCCGCCGCAACAGCCGCCGCCGCCGCGGCCGCCGCAGCTGCGCCGCCCTTGTACGGGTCGGCCGCGGGGGCGGGGGCGGAAGCTGGCAGGCGGAACGCGGTGCTCGCGGAATCGAACGCGGAGTATCGGAAGGCTGTAGCAGGGCGGATGGAAGAAGAGGCCACGGAGCTGGGACTGGCGGCTGTAGCATCGAGGTAAGTCGATCCCACTCCCGACGCGGCCGTGTTCGCCGTCTCGAGACTATCGTCGCGCGTCAACGCCGTCATCTCCGACTGCGACTGCGTCTGCGACATCGCCACGTGCGACTCCTTGAACGATTCCGTGTGCGACTCTTCATCTTCCTCCTCTTCCGAGGACGACGAGCAGGACGACGACGCCGACGGCGACGGCGGTGCCGGTGCCGTCGCGTGAATTTCGCTCGCCTCCTCCTTCTCCTCCCTCGCCTTATCCGCATCCCCGTCGCCGGCTGTTACCCCGACTGACGTCTCAATGACAGACTCCTCTCGGCCTTCCGACTCCGACTCTGATTCCGTCTCCGTCTCCGTCTCCGACTCCGACTCCGTTTCCGGCTCCGTCACCTCCGTCACTTCCGTCACCTCCGTCACTTCCGTCACCGTCGTCGCGCCGTAATGGCCCACTCCCGCGAAGGCGGCGGCGGCAGCGTGAGCCGCGGCGGCTTTCTCGGCAGGCACAGAGCTGCCCGGGCTAGCGGGCACGGGCGACGCCTTGCCGCTCTCGCCGCCCTGCTGATGCTGCTGGCGCTGCTGCGACGACTGCTTGGTTGACGGCTTGAAGCAGCTAGTAGGGGACTTCTGGCGAATCCTAGTGAGCCATCCTCGCTTCCCTTCCTCACTCCCTTCGCCTTCCTCCCACGCTTCTTCTTCCTCTTCCCTCTCCTCCTCCTCCGCTTGCCCGCGCTTCCCTTCGTCGCTGCTGTAACCGTCCACGTCAGGCACATCCTCGATCTCAATCTCCTCCACGTGGAGCTTCCGCGGCGCCTTGCCGGTTTCCGCCGCGCGCAGGCGCGGCTCCGCGTCCGCGTCCTCCTCTTCGTCCGACGAGTCCGCGTCTTTCTGCGCCTTGGGCGCGAGGCAGCGCAGCGGGGAAGAGATGGGCGAGCGGAGCGGAGACCGCGTGGTGGCCGGAGATCGCGCCGGGGAGCGGAGCGGTGAGCGCAGCGGGGAGCGCGGGGGAGTTTTGGCGGCTGACGGCGGAGCGATGCCGTGGCGCTGGTTGAATGCCTCCTTCGCCTCGAGAATGGCCTCCACAGGCTGCACACGCAGACAAGAAAAACGAAAAAAAAAAAAAAAAAAGATGAATAAAAACTACAGTAGACATAAACAGATTGACAAAGAGAACCGTGCGAGGGAGAAAATCACTAGAGCAGAAAAAAAAACATCTATTGAGGGCAAGAAAGCAAGGATATACAAGCGTACCTGCGAGCCGCACTCTTGAGCGAGCTCGAAGAGGCGTGTGCATATGTCGAGCCGGCCTTCTTCTTCCGCCGCCGCGATTTGCCGCAACCACTTGTCCGCGGACCGCAGATTCCCGGACCTGCGCGCCGGCTGTCCGCTCTCCGTCAGCCTTCCGCTCGAGCCGTCGTGGTCCTCCGCCATGCGCTTGTCGAGCACGTCGCGCAGCCCCTCGAGATTCACGGGCACGGAGCTCCACGTCGCCGCGGCCTGTTCCTGACTCAGCAGCTGCTGCTGCAGCTGCTGCAGGCCGCTCCTTGCGGGCTCCTCGACCTGCTGAATCTGCTGCTGCTGGTACACCAGTGGCAGAGTGGGCGCGGAAGCTTGCTGTTGCTGAGACGGCGCGAAGTGCAGCTTCTGCGGCTGCGGCATCTCTCTGCCGTACGCGTTGCTCGCCTCGGTGGGGGTAGCGTCGGTTGCGCTGTACGGCTCGGGCGCAATCTGGCCTCGGCGCGCTGCAGCAGCGGGCGACGCGTCCTTCCCTCCAGGGCTCCTCTTCGACCGTCCCGACAGCGATCGCACGATTGACGCGAGCCCAAAAAACGACTTCTTCTTCTTCGTCTTGCCGCTCCCGGGCGACTCCATAGGCACGCCGCAACCGGTGACAACACCGACCATGCCTCGCCTGCGGCCGCTGGAAGATCGCTCAACGGGGTAAATCTCCTCCTCATCAACATGGGCGTCCTCGTCCCAGACCTCCTCTTCCACCTCGTCCTCCTCATGGCGTTCCTGGATCTGCCGCGCCAGTTGCAGCAGCCCCTCGGGTGCGTCGTCGTCCGTCACGCTCTCGTTGGCTTGCGCCATGCTCGCCCACTTGGCGCCCCAGCCGCCCACTATGGCTCCCGCCGACGAGTCCGACGCCTCCGGATCACTGCCGTGCGCAGAAAGGGGGGGAGGAGACATGGAACAAGGGACGGAAGGAGAGTGTGACGTTGTTAGTCATGGCATATGGTATGTTTTGTTTGCCCGCGTAAGACAGAGTGATGAAGCGGAAACACGCGTAGTTAGGCAAGATCAAGTGGAAAATGGTGTCAATTCGACGTGCGACCCCGAGATGTCACCGAGATTTTCATAACTCTGTTTATTCCTACAAGGCCACTTACTTGCGCTCGTCCTGCCATCCAGCTGCAGGCCGCGCTGCTGGCAAGACCCCCGCCATTGGCGAAAGAAGGTCGTGGCCAAGGCTTCAGAAGCAAGTGAAGAATCTTTCACGGCAGCACACCTAAATATTAGAGGACGAGCAGCTGAGGTGACCTAATGTCTTAGTGACCTAGTAAATATAATCGCTTTTGGCAGTGAAGGAACGATAATCTGGCTTGCCTACGTCCAATGCTAGTAATGCAGCGCTACGAGTTCTCCTTTGGTTGCTTGTTCGCGCGTTTGGTCTGTCCCATAGCACGCATAACTTCTGTGACAAATGATCGCAAGTCTATCAAAGCAGTAAGTCGGAATGTGGATAGCAGGATCGACGAGAAACTTGGGAAAGCCAGGATCTTGAGGGGTGCGAGCAGCAGTCGTGAGGGTTGCTAGTCATGGACGCCCGTTGAAATCGATCGCCTTGTCCGAACAAAGCCGTTGACGGTAGAGCAAAAAGCGGCGGTATCTTTTCCCCGAGGCTTGTTGAAAGGTCGCGGGATGCCTTGCGAACAGGCGTGTTTTGTTTAGTCGCTATGGTAAACGGGGTGCGTCGATTCTTTCCACGGCTTTCGCAAAAGATATGGAGAAACAGGTTCGGGGAGGTAGCTTTGCGAATTTCAAGCTCAATTTCACCATTTCAGGCGCGCGCCGCGATGGCTTCATCAATGTCTGACCTGACAAAGCCCTGGGAATTGGATGAGAGCGACTTGTCTACGAGCCGCCTCGGAAAAGTGTACTTGAGATGCCAGGAAGACGTGGTACGGCAATCACGTTCGGGCTGCCGCGTGTTCGCACCGCGATCTGACCTGGATGGACCAAGCGCCGGTTTGCACGGAGGCTTCGCGCCAGGGCCCCTGAGCCTGTTACCGCCTGCTGTGAAAGGAATGATGCCCGTTTCACGTGGATACCAAACGCGGTCCGGGCTGCATCGTGAGATTTCGCCAGATGCTGACGGTCCCAAGCTCGGTGATGTGACCATAGCAGGGTGCGAAAACAAACGGAAACTTGACGATAGAACTCGCCGTCAGGCGATAAAACCAAGCGGTAGCGAAATGGAATCAAGGCAAGCGGTTGAGGCAAACGTGGATCGAAGTGATGTCGTCAGTCGTTAACTTCAAACCTGATTCTGTACACGAGCTGTTTGCACTATTGAACCCTTCTTTTTATAAGACAGGTGAAGTATGGTGAGGTGTAGTTTACCTTTATAGTTGTGTTAACCTGATTTCATTCTCTCAGAGTTTTACTCAAGGCCTCCGTAGAAATTCACTGGAATCGCTCCAGCGTCATTCCCCTTCCCCAATCAGTACCACTTCAACGTGCATCATGAAAAGTTTGAAAATAACGAATGGCTTGACACAATGATTCGCGTGTGCTGCTGTTTTACGACCACTACTACGAGTAGGGGCACAAGGAGGCCATCAATGCACTGCTGGCTATCAGGAAGCGCAGTGGGGTGCACTCCAAGAGAAAGTGCAGCATCATCACAGCTGAAGATGATGTATACTTGGCTGACATCGACAGCAGGCTGGTTGTAAAGATATGCCCACGGTATGACATCGGGGGGACATGGCTCCCAACGAGTTTCCAAGTGGCTGCTTTTGGAGATGGCTTCTGTGTTTGGGAGAGATTGCAGTAGAAGGCAGGTCATAACAAAGCAACACCATGAGTATAAATACTAGAGATGTTGTTTATACACGCGAATAAGGATGTGTGCGTCCTATCCTGTACATGCACGAGCATCAATCTATCATGAGCAACCTTGCCTAGCTATGGCATGTTGGAAGCGAGCCACCAGAGCATGTTGGTCTTGGAGTTACCATCATCAAAAGCACCTAGAGCAGAAATGTTCGCCCTGCCCCCCTGCGGGTCGTACAGCGCCTGCAGCGCCCACGCAAAGCCGTGCCACTCGTCCGTGGCGGGGCCGCTCAGCACAAGTTGCGCCCACTCCACGAGCTGCTTGGCGAACTCACGGTCGGGGAAGAGGTGGGAGAGGAAGGGTGAGACGGGCAGCACCTGGATGCCCACACGCTTCTCCATGTCCGCCGGCGGGGCGAACCACAGCCCCGCATCGCGCTTGGTGGACCAGAACACGCCCACAACGCGGTTGGCGTCTGCAAACACAGCCTCGTAGCTGGGTGTGAGGGAGGGGTCCGGATTGGACGAGGCGAGCGGCACGTGCATGAGGGTCTGCCCGGCGAGGGCCTCCACGGCTGCGAGCGTGGCGCCCAGCGTGGCGAGCGGCTGGTCGCCCAGCACGGACGCCAGCAGCGCCCCCGCGTAGTACGCGTTGGCCCCCTCGCTGAAGCTCTCCTGGTTGCGCCCGTCGCCAAACTCAAACAGCCCGCTGGCCCACGAGTGCAGAGCGTACGCGTCAAAGTGCCTCAGCCTCGGGAATGCCGCCGTGCGCTCCAAAGACATGTAGTCAGCCATGAGGTCCCTCAGCGGAGCACGGTACTGGTCGCGCCATGCGGCGTCAAACTCGGCAACGGTGGCAGCGGCGTAGATGAAGTAGCCGTAGTGGAAGTGGTGGTCGTTGTACATGCCTGCTCCAAAGTCCGCCCCCTGGTCAAGCGACCCCGCCTCGCTCACCACGCCGCCCCACGTGGGATCGTACAGCAGGCGGTTACCGGGGAAGGTGCCATCCAGCCACGCGGAGAGTGCGGTTCGCAGGGGCGGCAGCACGGCGGCCAGGCTGTCATCGTCTTGCACCTGCTTTGCGATCAACGCCAGGCGGGCGGCGCGTGCCGCTGCCTTGCCGAAGGAGTAGGTAGAAGGGGAGGAGAGGGGCGGCAGCGCGGCCACGTCCTGCTTGAGGCTGCCCCTCAGCTCGTCCAGCAGCTGTGCGTCGGACGAGAGGGGCCCCGCTTGCCACGTGGAGGGTCGCTTGGGCACGTTGAGGCGCCACACCGCCCCCTGCATGCCCATCGCCTGACCGTCGATGGTGGGGTATGCCAGCACTGATGCATCGGACACCGACGCATCTCGCACGGACGACCACCGTGCACTGCCCCGTGTGTTGGAGGGGCCGGCAGAGGCGGGGTTGTGGTGGCCGCGGAGGGCGCTCATGATGCGGGAAGGGGAGCCGCTGCGGCGACGGCGGAGGGCGGAGGCAGTGGAGGGGCTGTGTGCGCTCACTTCCATTCGCCGGTGCACTGCTCATGGGGGAGAAGGAGGGAAAAGGGGGAAGGGAAGAAACAAGGGAGCAGGGGGGTTAGTTTGATGTACAGACGATGAGGGCGATGAAGGATTGCATTGCATCCTTGTGACGCCATTGCAGGTGACATTGCAGCACAGCAGCACCGGCGCAAGCAAGCAACTCACTTGGCAGCGATAGCATGAGCAGCGGCGGCGCCTCAGTTTTGCCATTAGCCAGCTCGCGCCACTGCTGGGTGCGCCAGGTGTACTCGATGAGGAACTCGCCCACCTGCGCGCTCCCCCCCAGCGGCACCGTGGGCACGTGCGCGTCCAGCAGCGCCTCCTCGTCCTGCAGCGTGGAGGAGCCCGGCAGCAGCGCCAAGCGCATCGTCCCCGTGAATGGCGCGTCCGCCACCAGCGCTGACCCGTCCTGCCTCAGCGCCAGTGGCGACGACAGGTACACCAGCAATGTCTGGTGAGAGGGGAAGGGAGAGAGAAGGGCGGAGAAGAGATGGTGGTTGATACATACAGTGAGTGAGTGGGGGGATTCTATAACAGGAAGTTTGAGAGCAAGCGGGTGGGGAAGATAGCAAGGACGATGGGAGAATGAGACACGGGAATGTGGTGCAGGCAGCCGTTGGTGCGGCGGACTGACTGACCTGGCCGTTGTTGAGCGCGACGCGGTACTTGCTGCTGTTGCTGCTGGCCTCAACGCCTGTGATGGCGTGGATCGTCGTCAGCATGGGCGTCGCGGGGGGGGCGCCCGGGGGGAATATGAACGTCAGGAAGGGCTACCCGCGCACCAGGGGAACCTCGAGCGCGGGGGGGTCGGAGGGCGCGGAGGAGGGTTGGCGGAAGGAGAGGGTGGCGGAGAGGTCTTCGTAGGCGGAGAGCTGGTGGGGGGGGAGGCCCTGCAGCGTGGAGAGCATGAGCGCGGTGACGAACGCCTGCACGATGTACCCGGGTTGCGGGTCGCGCATCGGCAACCCCCACGCGACACGCCCCTCCGCGCTCTGCACGATGTACGGCGTGACGAGCTTGGGGTTGCCGCCCTGCCCCAGCACGAAGTTCTGCCACGGCGCGTTCGTTGGGTACGGCGCCTGGGGTCGGGGGAAGAGGGGGAGTTGAGCAGGATGAGGGGAGAGGAGCGGAGAAAGCACGGGGAACGGGGAAAACGAAAAAGGAGATAAAGTCGAGCCGCCGGCAAGGGACAGCCTCCGAGTTTGCGAGGACACTGGAGGCGGAAAGCGCGCGCAGATGGGGGAAGCGGCGATCGCGCGCCGATAAGGGAGGGCTGGGAAACTCACGGTGAGGTTGGCGGACCAAAGGGCGGAGGGCGCGGGAGCCACAGTGGAGGAGAGTGAGGGGAAGGCCGCCGTCTCCATGGCAGCGGGGATCAGACGCAAACGAAGTGCGGCGGGGATGACAGGCGGAACGAGCTCGGCGGGGTTGGCGAGGCGGCACGCTGCGCGGCTGGCTGCTGTGAGGCGTCTGCCGTGACGTGAAGGTCAGTTGCGGTGGTTGGGGGTAAAGGCGCTGGATTGGTGCTGCTGGACGGAGAATTGCTGATGCACCAGTGGTGATTGTAGATTCTGTGATCGCGGGAGCTACTAAATAAAGGGAATCCTTGGCAGCATCGCGTGCGTCCTGGCCGTGGGATGTCGCGTCCCGTGATACCAGTGACGCCATAGCGCCGGACGCGACGGACCGTGGGGCCCGCGACACGCGAATCAGTCGGACACGCATAATTCGAGTCCACCACACTGCTAGCACGCACTCGCGGCCCTCACTCAATCGATCCGTTCGCTTGAATTTAACGGTCATCGACCTGTCCACAGTAATGCGTTACTACGGCAGCCGTGGCTGATTGAAGGCACCTCCATGGTCCGACTCTGCGCCATCCAATGCTCTCCACCACCACACCACGCGTGCTGGGCAAGGTTGGAATGGCACAGAAGCACCACAGCTTCGCCTGTTACCCTCTTTCAACAAGGCGCTATTGCGACCAAAGCAATGCGTGCGCAATGTTCCAGTCGGCCGTTGACGACGAATGCGAAAACAGAGAGAGACGTCGTTAGTGTCGCGGGCACCCTGTTCTTCCGAAGTTCAGCGCACGTGAGAATGGAGGTGGTCCGTGCAGCAGAGCATTCCTGCTTGGCTTTGTTTGAACAACCCATTCTGAAGCAGGCCCGTTCCTGACTACAAGGCAACAATAGAAATGTCAAATTACAATGTTGATTATTGGGAATACAAATATTGGTTAACTCTGTAGTAATCATCACAAAGCGAGCCTTCTGCGACTGTGGATGCTCTGTAATCTGAATATTGTTATGCATATCGCCCTTAAACATTTCGTACTACCGGTACAAGCATGTGGTAACGAATATAGTTAATGAATGTCGTTAATGTCAAGATCGTATTTCACTACACTGTGATACAGGCGCATCCTATATTTTGTCCCTAGTTTGGACATCATTCCAGGCGTTTTATTCTTTAACGGGCCAAAATCCTAGAGAGGAATAAGTTTGCTTACATTTCACTAATCACCATACGCGAGACAAGCGTTACAATCTTGAATCGCAAATTCACTCGAGCCCAGAACCTCGAACCCTAATTGAGAAATCCAAGGCCTGGTCAGCGTGGGCAGCAGCGACTCGCTTGAATACTGGACTACAGACTCTAGACTACGCCAACCGCCAAAACGACTTCTCTGAGTCCCTCCTCCAAGAGGTGACCCGACAGAGCTCTGGGAGCGCTTGATTTGAAACACATTATCGAATTTCTCGACTGGGGATGGAGCTGATTTCTTCGGCGGAAGGCCGCTTCGTAACAGATGGCGTGGCGCAAAATCTGCGCGCGGATGGGCGCGCGCGGGAAGTCTTCCGCCCGTTCAGCCTAGACACTGGAGTTATCCCGCAGGTGGGGCCTGGGAGATTCTTTGCTCTTCGTTACGACGGCTGACGGCTGACGGCTGACGGCTGCTGATGGTTGACAGCAGACGGCTGAGGGTCGCGAGCTTGGGCAGTTTCCAGTTGGTTTTCTCCAGTAGACGGCTGAGGGTCGTTCGGCTGATGTAGGGAAGGTAGCTCCAATGTAAAGCCGGTGGTTTCCGTCGTTTGGTTTGGTTCAATGGGCACGCACGCAGGCTCCGACTCGCGCTGATTAGACGTCTCAAGAGTCGGTCTTGAATGCCCGCCTCCCCTACCGCCTCCCGCCTCTCGTCTGCCCCCTCCCGCTTCCTGCTCCCGCCCCTGCTCCTGCTCCTGCTCCCGCTCCCACCCCCACTACCGCTCCCGCCCCTGCTCCTGCTCGTGTTACAGGCAACCGGGTCGGCGAGGCTGCGACTGGGCGCCACGCACATACTGGCTTGTGTGAAGGTGCGTGCTGCTGTGCGGTGACCTTGGCACGGCGGTGGGGGAGTGGGAGGGAAAAGAAAGGCAGCGGATGAGTGGTTGACGGGATGTGTTAGTCCAGTTCGACAGTGCATTTGGTGAGCAGTTAGAGAGCAGTTAGAGAATAGGCATGAATATGGTTGTGGCAATGTCTTGAAAGTCCAGTTCAGAGTAACAAGGCGGTAGGTTGAACCGTTGCGTCGACCGTCGATCGTCTGTCTCAACCCACGGCCCACTAGATCCTTCCATGTGTCCGTCTGGCTCGACGCAACGAGTCAACAACACATGTGCATGCATCCACATATACCCTTTTCTTAATCCTCCCATTCAACTCCTCCCTCATTCCCCTATTTTAACGCCCTCCCCCACATTCCTCCACGTCTCTGCTCGTCCGTGCTCGTCCCAACGTGCCGCCGTGGGCTGTCCCTGTGTGCGTGTGTGTGCAGGCGGAGATAGGGTCACCGCCAGCAGGGCGGCCGTGGGGTGGGCGCATAGAGGTGTCCGTGGACTGCTCGCCCACTGCCACGCCTGCCTTCCGGGTACTGCTGCTGCTTCTGCTGCTCCCGCTGTTGTGATGCTGCTGCTGCTGCTGCTGCTGCTGCTGCTGCTGCTCCTGTGATGCTGCTGCTGTGCTGCCGCCACCGCCGCCGACACTGCCGCTGCTGCTGCTGCCGCTGCTGCTGCTGCTGCTGCTTCTGCTCCTGCTGCTGGTTGTGCTGGGCGGGTGATGGCAATGGTGATTGATTCGGATGGTTCTGCTGTTCGCTTTGCTCCCTTCCACCCGTGTGCACACGGCCACTCGCCAAACTCAGCACCCTCCTCCCCTCCTTCCCTGCTCCGGGTCCGGGCGTGTTGGTGCAATGCCATGGCAGGGCAGAGGAGGCGAGGAGCTGTCGCAGGAGCTGACACGGGTGCTTGAGAGGTCGTTTTTAGGAGGCGCAGATGGCTCAGGTGAGAGAGGAGAAGGGGGATGGAGGAGAGAGATGTAGGAGAGAGGGAGATGGGGGAGGAAGATGGGAGGAGGGATGATGTAGGGCGTGGAATGGTGCGTGGAGCCTGTTCTGGTGGGATTGACACTGCCGGCAGCAGTCCCCTTTCCTCACTCTTGCCAATCCACCTCCTTTGACCACATTTCGCTAGGCAAGGCAACCCAGTGGGTCGTCTCTCACCCTTGCCACTTTCGAGGCCCAGCCACTTCCGTTCCCTTCCTCCCTCCTGCTACAACACCCCTCCTCCATCATTCCCTCCACTTTCCTCCTCCCCTTCCCCGCCCGCCCTCCTCATGCCCTTTCGCCTCATGGCCTCCCCCCCCATGCCCTCCCAAACCATGTCCTCCCCACTCATGCCCTCCCCACCCATGCCCTCCCCGCTCATGCCTTCCCCCCTCATGCCCTTAACCCGCATGCCCTCCCCCGCTTTCCCCCTCATCCCCCCCACCCCGTCATGCCCTCCCCCGCTCCCCTTCTCACTCCCCCCCCCTCGTCATGCCCTCCCCCGCGCTCAATCCCGCTGTGAGCAGGCGCGGCGGTGGAGCTGGGGCAGCTGATGCTGGTGGAGCGCAAGAGCTGCTGGGTGCTGTACCTGGACGCACTAGTGCTCAACATGGACGGCAACCTCGTTGACGCCCTCTCCATCGCCTTCAAGGTTCCTCTCTTCTGCAACCCCCCCTTTTCTTCTCCTCCTCTTCTGCAACGCACTCCTGCTTGCTCATTCTCCATTCTCCATTCTGCAATCTCCACCTCCATCCTTCCTTTCTCCATCACCGTCCTCCTTCTTTCATCCGTTCGTCAGCCTCCAACCTACAACATCTATCCTCTCTCCGCTCATTCTCCCTCTCACCGCGCACCAGTCACGAAACTTATGCCACTTCACACCTGTCCCCACAACCACAACTGAAATCTTTCTGTCCCACCCCCCCCCCCCCCTCCCCTCCCCCCCCTTCCCCTCTTTTCCCCCATTATCATTTCGTCATCCTCAACAACCCCTCTTTTCCTGTCCCGCCCTCGTACCTCTTCCCCTGTAGTTAGCAATCGAATTTCAGAACCTTCAAACAATAGACAATCATCCCCACTGTGACCTGTTTCCACCAGGCGGCGTTCAGCAACAGCATACTGCCCGATGTGGAGGTGAAAAGAGCCGATGTTAGAGGCGACACAAAAGCTGTCGTCCTCCCTCCCATGTCTCTCTTGTTGTTCTGTGCCCACCAGGCGGCATTGAGCAACAGTGTGCTGCCCAAGGTGGAGGTGGTGATGGGGGAGGGTGAGGACGGGGAGCCGGAGCTAGAGGTGGTGGATGACCCAGATGAGGGAGTGCCTCTTGACACCTCCTCCACGCCCATCATTGTCACTCTCAATAGAGTACGTCTAGAAGCGCACACATTTTTTTTTTCTTTAGGTGCTTTTTGTTTTTAAGGTGTGCTTACTTTTGGGCTGCTGACTTTAATTAGTTGCCTACTTTTGAGGTGCTGAGCTGTGCTGTGCTGTGTTTCACTGTGTGGTATGCAGCTGGGGAAGCATGTGATAGTGGATGCCACGCCAGAGGAGGAGGCAGTGGCAGAGGCATCACTATGTGTAGCAGTGAGGCCAGATGGCAGGATTGTGAGTGCCACCAAGGGGGGCAATGCGGGGGTGCACCCCTCAGTGCTCTCTGAGATGCTTGACACGTCCAACCGCGTAGCCATGTCGTTACACCGCCAGGTCGATGCTGCCATGGCTGCTGCAGCCGGGTCGAGAAAAAACTGAAGGGAATGTGCAGGCTGCTGTTGTTTATTGCAAGGCACGGTTGGGATTACCAGGTTGTATCTAAAAAGTAAGTGCATATATTGGCTCCTACATGAAGCAGCCAGGGTCTTGTAAATTATCCGTCCAGGGTCCTCAAGCTCATTTTGGTCCAAATCGTTACAAGAGTAGAGGCTTCCAAACACCTGCATATGAGTGTTCTGCCCCAATTCCCAGAATACCCGTTGACTTCCTAACAATGTTGTAGACTTCTAAAACATTCTTATTGAGCCTTCCTTCCTCTACAGAACGAGGGCAGGCAGATATCGAGGAGCAATCGAGATCATCCATAATCGAGAATTTTCCATTTAGGTGTTTGGTGACCACGAGCCCATCGGAAACCTTCAAGAGTCACATGGTGGAAATGCATTAGAACGTGAAATGGTCCCAGGAACTGGGTTGGAGAGAACAGTTTCAACATTTGATCTGACAAGGTCAGGAAAAATAAAAGAACTAAAGGCGGGGTCAGCGCGTTCATTTATCATATCTGTACAGTTCATCCGTCGTGGCGCAAAAGGATTCCAGACGGTTCACAGCGGTTCCCAAGAATTACCGTTTGGAACCGTGACGCAACGAGAGTAACCGCTCAGAATGAACTGTACATCAGCAATAAACGAACGCGCTGACCCCGCCCTTAGCCATCTATTTTGTACCCTTAGAAATCCCCAAACGTAGAAACAATGCTCGGGAGAAATCAGTTCCCATCGATATGATCAATCTCCTCGAGTTTCTCCAGTGTAGTAACCCAGCCTCCACCGGCTTTCCCCTGACCCACCCACCAAGAGAAGCCAACCCACCCCACCCCACCTCACCTCCCACAACCACGGACCCGTCCACCCACTCACCCAATGCCTCGATTTCTCCTTGCTTCCTCGATGTCATGCTGGTCATTCATAATCCGAGTGGTGTGTCACCATAGACGCTTGATCTAGGCCGAAGCTAACACGTTTCTGCCAGCACCCGCTTCTCTCCAGGCGCATTGCATATCGAACGCAGACTCTCGGGTAGGTTCGAGATCGACTGAAGCAGCAGGTCACTGGCCTTCCGTCGCCCGTGAGATGTCTCTTGGTCAATTCCCTCGCGAAACAACTCGCGAGGCACTAGCCACTTGTCACCGATTTCTCGTCCTGTACTGAAATGTATTCGTCACGGAGTGTTTCCACATTGCGATTCCTGATCACGAAACGCCTTGTAATTCTCGTGACCCTCACTCCCCCTCTCCGCCCCACTAATGCCGCCTTTAACCTCCCTTTCAGGTTATTATCAAATAAGATATTTCGAGATCTTCTCGCTCAACGATCAACAACACCGTCGTTTGAATCATCACGGGAGGCAATCCCTCCGCGAGTTGTATTTCGAGTCGTCTCGATACACCTGTCGCCATGTCCAGTATCGAAGTGGAATGGCGGTACTTGGCCAGAGACGCCCCTTTGGCCGCTCGCTATAATCACGCTCTCGCGGTTGTGGAACAAGATCAAGGGGACCCCAAGGTAAAGCTTTCATGTAACGTGATGCTTTCCTTCCCTCTACCCTCCCTACCTCCCTCCGAAACCCCTCCCCATTCCTTAGGCCCATGATTCCCTCTTTCTGATTTGGTTCATATAATGGTTCACGCGTTGAGATGATCGTTCCGAGCCCAGGCATTTGGACCTACCGTTGTTCGTTCGTCATGTCGGTTTCTCGTTCTCGCCTCTGGTACATCTCACGTTGCAATGGGGTGTATGCTTTTGACAACTTAATGCACCTTCTGCTGCACCTTCTTGATGGCGTGTTCGTGTCATGGCATGTTCGTGTCACGGCGTGTTTGTGTCTGGCGTGTTCGTGTCATGGCGTGTTCGTGTCATGGCGTGTTTGTGTCATGGCGTGTTCGTGTCATGGCGTGTTTGTGTCATGGCGTGTTCGTGTCATGGCGTGTTCGTGTCATGGCGTGTTCGTGTCATGGCGTGTTCGTGTCATGGCGTGTTCGTGTCATGGCATGTCGTCTCACCCGTCATGTCAACACACATCGCATTTGCCAGGTGTACGCGGTGGGCGGGCAGAGCAAGGCAGCGCTGCCCCCAGACGCCTTCGTGGAGATCTTCCTTCGCGAGGGCGACGGATGGACCATAGGTTCGTCGCCACCTATCGCCACCGCGGGCAAGACGCGTGTTGGTCACGCCACCGCAGGTGGGTGAGGTGACGATTTGCAGAGACGGAGAAAAGCTGGGGTAAGGGCGAAGGGGAGAGGGGCGTGGGAAGGTTGCACTGAGGCATGGAGTGGGGAGGAGGGTGTGGGAGGTTGGGTATTTCGGAAGCAGGGGGAGCCGAAAGCATTGAGACGGCATTTTGTGAACCTGACATGTGCAATCAGGTTCTGTGAGTTTGCTGTGCCATTCACTTCCCTTAGATCCGTCAAGTGCTCCTCCTCCCTGTGTCCTGCCCTGTTCATCCCTGTTATTGCCTCCCGTTACAGTCATTGACGACACAATCTTCCTTGTGGGAGGCGAAAAGGAAGGCGTTCCTCAGGTGCGAGCGAGCAAGCCATTAGATGCCTTCTCTTTACTCGCTGACGTCGACACGTCTTGCCTCATGCCTCGCACATCTCATGCCTTGCAAAACTGATGCCTTCAGCAAAACCCCTGTTTGACATCTCATGTGTCCCCTCTCTTCTCTCCTCCATTGTTCGCACCCCACCAGAACGACATTCTGGAGTTCCACACAGCATCTGACACGTGGAAGACGTTTGAGGTGGCAGGCACAGCCCCTCCCCCCTTGGCCTTCCACACCGCCACGCCAGTCAACAAACGCATTGTAATGCGCCCCCCTCCCTACGTTGTCGTGACCTCGACCCATGCTGGTGCTGTCTTGGAATTTTCTTTCTGAGAGATCTTATAGATAGCGCCTCCCTACGCAGCTGTTGTCAATCCGCACCAGTGCTTTCTTTCTCCCCTCTTTTCTGTCCTTGCCCCACCTGTGCGCTTCATGTGTCACTTGTGCAGATGTTTTTGCTCGTTGTTCTCATGCCGCCTCCCTCTCGTCCTTGACTTCTCTATCTTCCCAACTCATCCTCTCCCTCTCTCTGTCTGTATCCCTTCTTCAACGTTACCACCCCCCCCCCTCGTCCCCTCCCTCCCTCCCTCCCTCCCTCCCTCCCTCCCTCCCTCCCTCCCTCCCTCCCTCCCTCCCTCCCTCCCTCCCTCCCTCCCTCCCTCCCTCCCTCCCTCCCCCCCTCCCTCCCTCCCTCCCTCCCCCCCTTCCCTCGTCCCTCCACCTGTTTGTTTCTTCATTGCTGCCGCTCCTGTGGGCGTGCAGTATGTTATTGGAGGCAAGGGATACAGTGCAGCAACCACCGAAGTCTATGTATACGACCCCAAGTCCCGTGCCTGGTAAGGAAGTATCCAATCTCCCAACATATCCGCTGGCTACCATATTTGTGTGAAGAAACTTCAAAATTTCCAGCTGCACACACTCTTTCCTCTGCTTCTCGTCCTTTCTCCCTTCCAGAATCTTTGGTCTCTTCACTCCACTTCCCCTTTCCCCCTGCCCCTCCTGCCCCTTCCCACTCCCCCCTCCCTCTCCTTCCCCCAACGCCCCCCCACGCCTCTCTCTCCCCCAACCCCTCCCCCAAGGTCCAAGCCAGAAGTGCGTGGCACACCGCCTCCCGCGCGCTATGCGCATGCAGCCACACTCGTTGAGCCTCTCCGCATCGCAATCTTCGGAGGCAATCTCTCCGGCTCATCAGAGAACGCACCAGGCCAGGATCAGGACCAGCACCACCAGCAGCAGCAGCAGCAGCAGAGGGCATGCTCAGACCTCTGGCTACTCCAAGTGGACGACTCCAAGCCAGACGCCATTACGGTATCATGGGGCCAGGCGTCCTCCCAGCCGCCCGCCATGCCCGTGGTCATCTGCGGGCCCTCAGGCGTGGGCAAGGGGACTCTGATCACGCGGCTCATGGAGGAGTTTCCTGGGAGGTGCGGGTTTTCCGTGAGCCACACGACGCGGGGGCCGCGGCCGGGGGAGGAGGACGGGGTGCATTATAACTTCACGATGCGCGAGGTGATGGAGAAGGAGATTGCGGAGGGGCGGTTTCTGGAGAAGGCGGACGTGCATGGGAACCTGTACGGGACCAGCGTGGCTGCTGTGAAGAAGGTCACGGATTCTGGCAAGGTGGGTGCGTGCTGGTGATTATTCCGAGTTGACGTAAATATTGGGCGTGGATGGGATGATGGTCACGACGACTGTGGGCATGTGCAGGGATGGTTGGGAAGCGAGGTTGGGGGAATGGGGATGCAGGGAACTGGATGTGGGTAGAGAGAGGAGTGAGGGAAGGGAAGGGAATGGGTAAAGAAAGGGACGGAGTTCATAGGGGACTTTGAGATGCTCATCCTTATGCTTCTTGTTTCCATGCCAACCCTAATCCTTGTTATTCAATCCTGCCCTTTCGACAACAACCCCAACCATCTCTGCCTTCTCTTTTGCTCCCACGTTCTCTCCCATTTTCCTCCTTCCCAACCTCCTACCCTTCTTCCCTCCCTCCTCTTACCCCCTCCGCTCTGGCCCAGATGCACATACCGGACATGGATACACAGGGGGCGCGCCAGGTGATTTTAAGGTGTCACAAAAGTCGTATTTCCACCAGCAGGTTTGAAGGGAATCAAAGGCCTCCCTCTTTTTCTCTTCTTCCGCTGCCTCCTCCACCTCCCTTCCTGCCCCCTCCCCACCAGATGTGCATACTGGACATTGACGTGCAGGGCGCGCGGCAGGTGAAGGCGTCCCCGGCGCTGGATGCTGTGTTCATCTTTGTGGCGCCTCCCTCCTTTGAGGAGCTGGAGCGGCGGCTCAGAGGCAGGTACGTGCGTGAGAGGGAGGGGCGAGGGGGGAGTGAGTGGAAGGAGGGAGAGGAAAGGGGATAGTTCTTGGGATGGAGTGCGACAGGGGACAGAATGACTGTCAATGCTATGTGTTTTGTGCGGTGTGGTATGCGTCCCTGCGTAGCAATGCAGGCTCTTGTCTGCTGGCTGTTGGGCAATGGAATGGCAATCTCTCTTTGCTTGCTGGCTGGAGCTGTGCTGCTTCAGGCCAGCTCAGCGGAGACGTGCCTTGGATATGTGGGAATCAGTTGTTCCTCCTGCACATTCGTGTGCACTGTGCACGCACACTGGCGTGCCTAAGTCTTCGCATGTGTGCATGTGCGTGTGTGCATGTGTGGGCGAGCAGGGGCACGGAGACGGAGGAGCAGGTGGAGAAGCGGCTAGGCAACGCGCGCAAGGAGATGGAGGCAGGCAAGGACGCCACGCTCTTCAACCACACCATCATCAATGACAACCTCGATGCTGCTTATGCCAAGCTCAAGGCACTACTCGGGTTGGGAGCTGCAGCAGAGACGGTGTCAGGGGGTGCGGCCTGGCCTGCGCCGCGCTCCCATGCAGCAGCAGCAGCCGTGGCCTCTCGCATCATTCTCCATGGAGGTCTCTCATCCCGCGGGGCTCCCCTCTCAGATCTGTACGCGCCCTGCCCTGCTGGTTCTCCTCTCCCTCCCTCACTCCCTGTCCTACCTTTGAGGCGCCAGTAAAACACACTATCTCTCGGGTGCCTATGCCCCGTGCCCTGATTCTCCCCTCCCCTCCCACCCTCCTTGTTCTACCTGTCCCTATTCCGGTCCTTCTCCAGTGTCTTTTCTGTCCTCGTTTTCTCGTTGCGAATCTGCTAACCTGTCTGCTTGTCTTCGCAATTGTTCGCTTTCATGCATCGTGTGCCATGCACCAGGATTAGCCCCCCCTGCTTGCAACCCAGCACATTATTTCCCCACCCTTCCCATCCCAGCCTGTACCACTCGTCCCAACCCCTCCCCGCCCCTTGCCCCTTCCCCTCCCCACCTTCTACCCCTCTCCCTCCCTCCCCCGTCCTTTACAGTCACATCCTCGATCTGACAAACCTGTCCGGGGAGCCTCCAGCAGCAGCTACAGGGGTGCGTTGTGTCCCTACACACTCCATCCCCACGCCTGCCTCCCCTTCCCTCATCACCAACATCCTCACCACGCTCGGCCTCTCCGAGCCTCCTAACACGGCTGAGAGAATCCCGGCCAGGTTCGGGCACCGAGCCGTTGTGGTAGGCCCGGGAGAAGTGCTGTTTGTTGGTGGGGCTGCTTCGGAGGAAGGCTCGGCGACGGCGGGCCTGGCTGAGACGGCGATGCTCGCACTGAAAGGGTTGTCTGCTGTGCATTAAGGCATGTGTTTGGGAACGCTGAGGGCTTTTTTTTTATCAGAGGTTTCAAAGTTTTGACGGTGCCTGTCAGACAACTTTGGGGAGAAATGCGTGCACAGCTGTGGGTGTATGGAAGTGCAGTGAAGGAGTGGGTGGGCCCCTGTCTGTCTGGGCTGGGTGAGGTCAATGACTAGTATTGAGGTTGAAAATGTGATGGTGGATGGAGGGACCAATGTGGCGTAAAGTTGTGGCTAGGTGGGGACTCAGTGTTTGTCACTTGTGTAAGGACTGGAGTAGAGATTATAATTATTAAGCTGGTGGATACAATGCAAATGCTACAAGCAAGTATTAGACGACTGGCGCAACTTTGTACAAGCAAGCAAACATCTCATTTTGGAACGGGAAATCACTAGACTACGGATATATGCTTATAGATATAGATGGATATATATGTATATATATGTATATATGTATACAAATACATAGTCATGTCTAATACTGACACACATGGCTAAAAGGGACCCAGCTACAATATACACGCAAAACCACAATAACACAACACACCTCCGCACTTAGACTGTGCAGACTCCTTGGCGAATCCTGGTTTGGTTTGGCAGGCAGATTTTGGCGCCTGAGGGTATTTTATCGATGCAATCGTATCCATTGATGCGCTTGTAGCATCCTCGAATGCCTCTGAAGTATTTGATTTGGATGAAGCTGCAGCGCTCGCTCCCGCTTGCTGTGAGCCCTTTGGTCTTTGGGCAGACCCCGGCAGTGTACTCACCCGACACCTGTATGCACGCCTGGGATGGGATGGGAAGGCACATGATCAGAATGGGAGGCACATAATCAGAATGGGAGGCACATAATCAGAATGGGAGGCACATAATCAGAATGGGAGGCACATAATCAGAATGGGAGGCACATAACCAAAATGGGAGGCACATAATCAGAATGGGAGGCACATAATCAGAATGGGAGGCACATAATCAGAATGGGAGGCACATAACCAAAATGGGAGGCACATAATCAGAATGGGAGGCACATAATCAGAATGGGAGGCACATAATCAGAATGGGAGGCACATAACCAAAATGAGAGGCACATAATCAGAATGGGAGGCACATAATCAGAATGGGAGGCACATAATCAGAATGGGAGGCACATAATCAGAATGGGAGGCACATAATCAGAATGGGAGGCACATAATCAGAATGGGAGGCACATAACCAAAATGGGAGGCACATAATCAGAATGGGAGGCACATAATCAGAATGGGAGGCACATAATCAGAATGGGAGGCACATAATCAGAATGGGAGGCACATAATCAGAATGGGAGGCACATAACCAAAATGGGAGGCACATAATCAGAATGGGAGGCACATAATCAGAATGGGAGGCACATAATCAGAATGGGAGGCACATAACCAAAATGGGAGGCACATAATCAGAATGGGAGGCACATAATCAGAATGGGAGGCACATAATCAGAATGGGAGGCACATAACCAAAATGAGAGGCACATAATCAGAATGGGAGGCACATAATCAGAATGGGAGGCACATAATCAGAATGGGAGGCACATAATCAGAATGGGAGGCACATAATCAGAATGGGAGGCACATAATCAGAATGGGAGGCACATAACCAAAATGGGAGGCACATAATCAGAATGGGAGGCACATAATCAGAATGGGAGGCACATAATCAGAATGGGAGGCACATAATCAGAATGGGAGGCACATAATCAGAATGGGAGGCACATAACCAAAATGGGAGGCACATAATCAGAATGGGAGGCACATAATCAGAATGGGAGGCACATAATCAGAATGGGAGGCACATAACCAAAATGGGAGGCACATAATCAGAATGGGAGGCACATAATCAGAATGGGAGGCACATAATCAGAATGGGAGGCACATAATCAGAATGGGAGGCACATAATCAGAATGGGAGGCACATAATCAGAATGGGAGGCACATAATCAGAATGGGAGGCACATAACCAAAATGAGAGGCACATAATCAGAATGGGAGGCACATAATCAGAATGGGAGGCACATAACCAAAATGGGAGGCACATAATCAGAATGGGAGGCACATAATCAGAATGGGAGGCACAGAATCAGAATGGGAGGCACATAATCAGAATGGGAGGCACATAACCAAAATGGGAGGCACATAATCAGAACGGGAGGCACATAACCAAAATGGGAGGCACATAACCAGAATGGGAGGCACATAATCAGAATGAGTGTGCGGGAGGGGAAAGAGTCAGTCGGGGATGATGTACTGTACTGTGCTGTGCTGTGCTGTGCTGTGCTGTGCTGTGCTGTGCTGTGCTGTGCTGTGCATGCATGATGCAAGGCCACGAAGCACCGCACGCAGGACTAGTTTGCAACCCAGTAAGGCCACGCATGAATGGAGCGCTTTTTGAGGCGCCTAAAAAATCGTCGCATGACTCGCGGTTTTGAGGCCTCAAAAGTTGCAACCCAGTAAAGCCACGCATGAATGCAGCGCTTTTTGAGGCGCCTAAAAAATCGTCTCATAACTCGCGGTTTTGAGGCCTCAGAAATTGCAACCCAGTAAAGACACGCATGAATGGAGCACTTTTGAGGAGTCTGCGCATGCATGCATCACGCATGGCCTCCTCTCATACCTCCTCATGCTAACAAGTCTTCTTTGAGACGACTCAAAGTGAGCCTTCGTGATCGTACCTCGAAGCCCGTGTGCAAGTCGAGGCCAGCAGCGTCCGGCACGAGGCGGTTGCACTTGATGCCGGGGTTGAGGCGGAAGAAGTCGAGCGGGGAGAGCGGCGGGGAGGGCACGCTGCGAATGGCATCGCACGTCTCGGCGGTCTGCACCAGATAGTACTGCGAGCACACCGGGATCACCTGCCCCTTTCCCGCCGCCCCTGCTCGCCGCTCCACACATACCGCCTGGTTCGGCTGCACGGAGCCGCCGTTGGAGCAGCTGAGCCCTGGGTTGAGGCTCTGGAATTCCGTAGCGCAGGAGAATGTGTCCCGGCATTTGTTAAGGTTGAAGTAATGTCCTATGGACTGGCATGTGTCGTCCTGGTGAGATGGGGGTTTCATTGGGGGGGAAGAGGCGGCTTTTGAGTCGACGGAGAACTCGGTTGTTGAGGTTTAAGTACTCTCCTCCTATTGACCGGCACGTGCTGTCCTGGTGAGATGGGAGGTTTGTTGGAGGGGAAAGGGGCGGTGGTGACAGTGGATGGGAGAGGGATGGTGGGAGAGAGGACGGGAAGGCAGGGAGAGAGAGGGACAGAGAGATTTAGAAAGCTTTGAGGGTCATACAGGGTGTAGGTGTGGGATTGGTGATGGAAGGGGAGTGGTGGGGTTTGGAGATTGGTATGGGAAGATTGGTATGCACTGGCTTGAGCTAACTGGGCCCGAGCCTGAGCCGAGCCGAGCCGAGCCGAACCTAAAAAAGGGAGAACTGAGCTGCGTTGTGGTGAAGAAACACACGCATAAATAAACCCACCCTCCAACAGCAGTGTCCAGGGCGATGCAAACTTGCCTTGGACTTGTTATAGTCACAATAGGCTTGAATGTGCCTAAAACGAAAGATAGAGAGCACAGACGGATTTCTGCACAGCGGCTTCAAACGTTGATAGCGTTCTGCTCACAGCTGCAAATGACTTGATTCAAATTGATCTGGAGCGTCTTCACGTCGTCTTTAATTAGCAATTTAGATTGCACGATTTGATAAAGAATTGACGACACAGCGTCGGTTTGAACGAACGGTACTATGGCAGCCACTATAGTCTTAGAACACAAGATAGGAAGAGTTACGAGTTGGGAATGACTCCCAGCTCCTACAAACCCCAAGAGCCGAGGTACAGTGATGTGGAACAGTGCCACACTGTCCCCAACCACGAAGGGTCTCGAAACTACCCTTCACTAGGGCCTACACCAAGTGAAATGTTACACTACACAAAGTAATGTAACTATCTTCAATATCTTGAGGTGTACCCTTTTGGCAAGCTTCGAAATCACTTGAGGCTTGACACCAAGGCTCGGGCTCTTCATCACAAACTCATCCTTGAGTTCTTGATGGGTCTGCTGCACACACCTGCGACACGCCGAACGTTCGACACAGGACAAAATAGAAACCGCGCACGACAAAATAGAAACCGCGCGCGAGACACAAACGACCGCGTAACACGCGTCTAGCGATAACTCGCTATTGACTCGACACACACACTCGACATCATGACTCAACATTCACACACAATTATAAGCATGAAATATATATTATCCCATGCCCTCATACCATTCCATACACACACACATTCACGCACACGGACAACAAGCCGAGTGCAAACCGTAGGGTTGCACCAACAAACTCCCCCTCGGATTGTTGGCCTTAGGATATGTTGCTCTCTCAGTTCAGAGCCATCCCAGCCAGCTTGCAACACTTCCAATGCTGCTGCTCCACCAGCCTCTTGGTCATCATGTCAGCCGGCTGCCCCGTGGTCTTCACGTAGCGCAACTCAACTTCACCCGCGGTTACCATGCTCCTCGTCCAATGCCACTTCACCCTCATGTGCTTCGTGAGTCCATGCAACACAGGGTTCTTAGCAAGAGCAATGGCACCCTGGTTGTCACAGTACAGTGGGGTAGGTCCTTGCTGCTCCTCCCCCAATTCAGCCAACAAACGCCGCTGCCACACAATCTCCCGTACGGCACGGAAGAGTGCCATGTACTCGGACTCCACCGAGCTCAAAGCTTGGTCAACCTGCTTCTTGCTCTCCCAAGCAGTTGGGCCTCCACCAACACAGCATATGAAGCCTCCCACACTTGTCATGTCCTCTGGTTCTGATGCATATGAAGCATCCGAGTAGGCGGTGAGGAACAAACGCCCGGGTTCAACACCATCCACGCCCTTTTGGCGCCTTTGTGCCGCCGCCGAGTATTGCAGCCCAACGGTCGGTGTTTGGCCAAGATACTTGGCCACCCTCATTCCAGCTGCTACCTGCTCCTCATTAGGGCAT